CCGTACTGAAAACTACTGGGGCTCCCGTCATAACTGTTCCACGACTCCTAAAAATTTCGATGTCCCAACGAAAATCCATCATCGATAGATACACTTTATGGGGATCATCCTGCCGATACAGATCCTAACTTATCTTCACCTAACTGTACAGTATATCGGAGTTACTTTTGCGGGTCCGTAACTCGGTTGCGAGAGGGTAACGCGATGTATTTCTTTTTCCGTGAACTATTTTCATGCTGAATCATTTGAAACGGCACGCTGTTACCCATTCTGAGCGAGTGGGATTAAGATTATGATTGAAATATGGGCCGAGAAGGTACCTCAGAAGGAAGCGCCCGACTATATGGAGTACGGCCAGCGCAGCGCCCTCCTATCTCCGCGTGATATTAGAGTTGGTTGATCTGTGTGATGGAAGAGAGTAGTACCGTTCCATTCACCTTAGACCTCGCAAAGACTACCTTCCACGAAGGCGACTAAACCGTTTCCTTTCATTTGTTGTTGGGATTTGTGTGTTCATCTCAAAGAAAAGGAAAGCGCCAGGCGTGTGTCAACCCTTTTGGACTGAACCGCTCATTCTGCTTCATCTCACAATCGCAGTGCCCATTTAAAATTGGTTCCTAATGACACTGCTTTTTCGTTGTCTTCTGAAGGCCAAGTTATCTACAGATTACTCTGCTGTGGGAGTGAGGACTGGCCCTCTCTGGCAGGTCGGCCCAACGTTAGCCCAAGTCGCGGCGAGCGCGGTGAAGGAGATGTGCAAGGGGGGGGGGGTCATTTGATATAGGTCCCGAATGGTTCGACTCGACAAAGTTTCTTGTCTATGCGTAACGCCGCAAATAGGGAGTAAGGGCATACACCCCGGTATGAAAGGCTCAACTGGCCTAGTAGAAGCTGTTCTGAGATATGACCTTTCAAGCCGGTTGCTTACGGGCGCGTGGTAAAAGAAGCCATTTCTCACTGCCCACCATTACCCTTCACATGGGGCTGACTTTAGTTTTCTTATCTCTGTTCCAGCTCCTTCCGTTTCATCGTACTAGTTATAGTTCGGCGTCACTTCAAAGTTGATTAGCTGTGATTCATGCATTCAACTCATAAAAGTTTGATATTCAGTCGAGAGAATTCGAAATGAAGTAGGCGTGATCGCCATTTGTCGATGTGAACCTTGGCCAATTAAACAATTGCTTTTGACATGTAACACATCACTTCTTGGAACCAGAGAAACCATGGTGAGATCATGAGGCGTTTCATGGCGCTGCAGTTACGGGTGAAAAATGTCAGTTCTCGTCAAGTTGGCTTCCCAACTCATGTAGGGATTCCAGGACCATTAGAAGCCAGCTAGCTTCACACCGAAAGAGTTTTCTCCATTTTGCACATCAAGCTTATAACCTAACACACTAGTGGGTCGTAGGCTCCTGATTACTGCCTTCTGGTGGAAGTGTTGTGGTTGCCTTTCTACATTTTTTTTTCGACCCACAGTTCATGGGCGGAGTTAGACGTTCCAGTGTGCCTTCTGACGCCCCCTCTCCAGTGTTTCAGAAGATAACGCACAATAAGGAAGGAGGGCCTAACATTACGTTATGTAAGGTTTGGATGATCACAGTTTACTGCGTCCCGGTAGGTAGAAGGCTCGATAACCTGAACCTGACAGGGCCGATCCGGGCTTTTATCACCTCGTATCAAAGGAAAAAAATCACCTATCAGGAAGCAATTTCTCGAGGATAGTATCGGCTAATCCCTCACAGCGAAGGAATCAGACAGCGTTTTCTGTTTGCACATTTACCCTTTACTGCCCCAGCCATCCGAAATCAGGCCGGTTCCTGACCGACTTTTTTCTCCGTGGGCAGAATTCGCTGAAAACTTGCTCTCAGGGGTTAGTGTGGAGGCCCCTGAACACGAATAGTCACATCCCGCTCAATCGGAAAGCCTCCTCGGAAACGCGCCCGCAGGGCCGTGTTGCATCGCGCCAAAATAGCCCAAATCATTGGCGCCTGTGGCGCGGGCGCCAGGAAGTTTCGGTCTGAGCGAATGTGATATTCGTATTCTGGAGGTCAAATTACCCCAGGAGAAACATTTGAAAAAAGTCGGTCAGGAACTGGCCTGATTTCGGATGACTGGGGCAGTAAAGGGTAAATAGTGCCTTCTGTTTTCCACAGCGGTTTCCTGTGCCCCACAAGGGAACTTCCACGATAGACCTAACTCCGCGTACACAGCTAGCGTGGACTGTGCAGTTCACCGCGAAATTTTACATAGCTCAGCCATGACTGTCCAGTTTCTTGTATGGAGTCGTTCTACTATCCGTTGTTCCTTCCTTCCTCATTTGAGCTCCATCTTTTTTTATTTTTTTCCGTGTTTCCATTTCATCGAACGTGTTCTTCCTCTAAAAAGACACGAGTTTGTCGAAAATCGTTTATCAGTTCTTCCGCAGACATGTACGATCCTCGTTCGGGACGAATTCGATCCGGGAGAGTTTCGAAGTATTCTGATAGCGTTCTCCATTCACCCTTTTGGTATGTGTTCACATAGCGTTTTACAGTGTTTTTGTCAGCTGGAAATAAAGAACACTTGCTAGGGTGCATCGACTGAAATGGGCACCTCTTTCAGTTCTATCGAATCATTAGCAAAATGGTTCAGTTGATTTCTAGTTTCTAGTAATCAATTTGAAAGCGGAATCCCTGATAGGAGTTCTCGGTATTAATTTAACTGCGGAATTTCCATTAGTTTCCAAGAAAATGAAGCCCTGATGCAGTTCCGTGTAGAGGAAGGGGCAATTAGTTGGAGACAAACTGTACACTCACATTCATAGATTCTGGTCCTGCCGTGTAATGGAGGAACTCCTGTGAGGCTACAAAATGTCATGAATTCCATTTTCGAACCAGATTTTGCACTAGTGGATTACGCAAATGTTTTTGCAAGCTAGTTTGTTCAACCCCTTACTCTGACCTTTCTGAGCTAGTTAGTGGCTCGATTGATTTCCTCATCCTGGTGGCTTGACACGGGCGGGTACTTTTCTACGTACTTGGCCGATCTTAGTTACCATGGTAGTTCCTGCAAAATAAAAGCCAATTGGATGAGGCATGGCAGAATCGATATTGAGCTTTTTTTTATCTTTTCCGCTCCTAGGCAAAATTCTACATTCAGGATCGACGAAATCTCGAGCAAAGTCGGCGGTTTGGGCTGAAGTGTTTATTTGAGCTGCCCACAAGCTATAATCATGAATTTAACAGGAAAGACTGTACTCTTCAGCAATTAGTTCGCGATGGGGCTCCCAGCAGGTGTGTAGGCCGAATGATTCGGTTTCTGCAGCAGTCGGTATTGTGATGGCCATTCTGTTCTCCGCCCAGATGTGCACGTGTACAAGGTTGTACGGTAGTGGTACTCGGGGTCTCCATGCTCCACTCGCGATCTCCTCGACGGGCAGCGCTTGCGTCGATGCAACGAAACACGTGTTCAGCGGTGGAGCAATCAGGTCTGAGAGACACAGAAAAGCAGCACGGATGGCTAGCCGCGCGGCTACTAGTGGCAGAGTATATAGTCGGCACCGGGGTAACATAACACTGTAGCCCAGTTTTCGTGCCCTTTGAGTAAAGAAAGTTGCACACTACTGCAGCTACGGACTCATCCACCTCTCATATTGCAAGGATCGTCTTCGGGACTGAATGTACAGTTTGTATTTAATTAATAATAACGTGCCGTGAACACCTGCAAACTTCTACTGGGCCATTTTGAGGAGTCCTGTGAAATTTTGTGGATTCTCCGGCTAAGTAATGTAATCAATACATACTATACTTCGACTTTTTCTGTAAGGGACTGTATTTAGTGCAGGTAGTTACGAAGTTACGAGTAATTGGGACCACATGATGAAGATTTCGATCTACGCCTAACAATTAGGCTCAGAAGTTCAGAGTTGGGTGAAACAATTTGTACAAAGTCTGATTGAAAATGGAAATCTTCAAATTTCACAGCTTCCCAGGAGTTCCCACGAGCTCACAAAATGCCTCCTAGGCCAAACTGCGCCGATGGTTTTTGTAGGATGGAACTCCCCACTTAACATAAGCCTAATGTTTAAGAAAAGCTACACGACGGGGGGGCCAGTATTACGTACTGTATTACGAATCCGTTTTCAGTGGTTTGACGCGGAAGGCTTCCGAGGCTCCATTTTGGCATCCCATGACTGCTTCAGTTTTTTCGCCTTTCTGGTAGGTTTTCATATCAACGCAGTCCGAGGACAGTTACTACATGGGCTTAGTGTGGTCAAAGAACTGGAAGATGATATGAATATGAAGGTGCATCAGCGCAACCCTTATTCTCCCTTTCTTGTATTTCTCTGCTCTGACCGACGACTTACTGATGTCAGCCATTAAAACAAATTGGACCCATAAAAATGACTGATATGATTGATTAACAGTAAATTACTTGGAAACAAAAGTTGATCAGACAGGGACAAGCGATGTTCTTCACCGTTTTACCATAAAGACTAATCACGCGCCGGCAATAAATCGTAAAAGAATCGTTAAATAAATAAATAAACTGCTACGCGGTATAACTTATTACATTTTACTTTATTAATATTGGAGAGAGCATTTGAACGACTCCTTATGAGGAAGCTAGAATTATCTCAATGAAATGAAGATAAAGGCATTCGACTATGCCTGAAGGGAGAAAGTAGCTCACCTTCCAACCCTCAAGCCTTCAACCGCCCACCCATATCCAGGAGTTAGGAAGCCGGGGTGTGAAGGATAGCATGCAGATGCGTTTTTTCATGGGGATATTTCCATTTCAGGCGGTTGTCATCCTGTCTTGTGTAGGGCATTGATCACAAGTTACCCGAATCGCATACCAAAGGCGCTGCGCTGAGATGAAGTACGCAGCCACACCCACCCCAGGTGCACGCCCCTGTCCGGGTGGCACTAATCAGATTTGCAAAAGGAGTCTTTCGAATGCTGCCTCTGAAAATAGTAGCACCTTTTTCCTTTGAGTTTTTTTTTGTATTTTCTCTCATACTGACACCTCATTTTTCGATTTTCAGCTCAGTAGTTGGTGGCAGTCCATTGGATCGACGGCATGGACGAAGCTGTGATCTTCAAGCCACAAACGACGACGATAAGCCGGATAAATATGACAATCCGATAGCACAGGTGCGATAAAATTCTTTGTGGGGCTGATGGAAGTAAAAAGGGACATCTTATTCATTCCCAGGCATAGGAAAAGGTAAGAAAACCAATAGAGTAGAAGTACACCTAATGTCACCGCAATTGTCGGGTCGCAATCAGCTTCTCACACACTGCGTTTCCATCATTGGTTGTTTCCTTCCTGAATCGATTTCTACCCGATCGCCATTGGTGACCAAGGACCCGCCAAGGGACTCGAACGCGGACTCAAACCGCGCTGCTTACGCCGCCTCCGACAGTCCGCAATGATGAGGACTGTAGTTCTATGTCGAGCAGAAGGTTCTTGCGCTTTTCGACCTTAAGTTTAAATGAGAGCATCGCCGAAGGTGCTCCAAGTAAGGCTCACTTTGTCTCAAGTAAGAGGATAAGCATAGATGTGGATTCAGGTTTATAGACAACTTGTACTCGATCTCGTTAAACGCGCCAGTTTCCTGTTTCTTTTTGCACCCTCTCGTTTGCATGCGTTCTATGACCACAGTGATCAGATACATTGAAGCCTTTAACGCAAAGCAAATGGATTATTCACTCTGGAGTCCTGACCTTTGAAAAAAATCCCATTTCCTGGCTCGAAACATATTCTTTCGCTCATTTCGGTGCTTTGGCAGCACCAAAATGAGCCCTTGTCACGCACCTAGACGCCCATCGCAACCGCCCGCCCAGAAAAGGTTGCACAGTAGCATCGGTACTGGTCCTCTTATCGCTTATATGAAGTATTTACAGTTTGTATGAAGCGTTGCCACATGGATATATGAACACATGCGCAGCCCTGTCTATCAAAGCGGTAGTTGGTACAATGCCGACGGGAAGCTTGCTCAAAAATGCCCGTCCGATGCCGTGCGAGCAAAGGCTTTTCCTCAGTTTTTTTTTGGCTCACTTAGCTTTTTCATTAATTTTC